ACATGCTTGGCCTGGGCATCTACATTCGTAAGAACTCACCCATTTGTCGTGAAACTAGGTTTGAATCTACAGACTATTCATTTATGTGCTTTCGTTTAGCACAACTTCACTCTATCGCCTTTCTCTTTGTTCTATATCGCTCTCCTTCATCCCAAGATTGCACTATTCTTGATGTTATTTCTGATCAAATTGACCAAGCCCTCTCTCTTTATCCATCGGCCAATATCGTCGTTGTTGGTGACTTTAATGCCCATCACACCGATTGGCTTGGCTCTAGTGTCAGTGACTCTGCTGGCATTAAGGCCCTCAACTTTTGCCTTTCTCAATCTCTAACTCAAATAGTCAACTTTCCAACTCGTTTTCCAGACAACCCTAATCATTTACCTTCTCTACTCGACTTATGTCTTGTTTTGGATCCTAGTCAGTGCTCAATTTCTCCACATTCACCCTTAGGTACTTCTGATCACGGTTTGATCTCTATAAAACTATTATCAAATTCTTCTACTTCATCAGAATCCCCCTATCATCGTACCACATACAACTACCTTAAAGCTGACTGGGACTCTTTCCGTGATTTTCTTCGTGATGGCCCTTGGGTAGAAATCTTTCGTCATCCTGCTGACAAATGTGCTTCTTACATAACTTCGTGGATTCAGGCTGGCATGGAATCTTTTATTCCCTCTCGACGATTCCAGGTCAAGCCTCACTCTTCTCCTTGGTTTTCCTCACATTGCGCTGCAGCAATTTCTAATCGAAACCGTTACTTCCATATCTATCAGCAAAACAATTCTCCAGAAAACAGACATCTGTTCACTATCGCCAGAAACCATTGTAAAAAGGTTTTGTCTGATGCCAAAGCTCGCTATTCCCAGGTCATTAAATCTCGTATCTCATCACAAAAATTAGGCTCTCGAGACTTCTGGAGAATCTTTAACAGTATCAATAATAAGGGCAAATCTGTTATTCCTTCTCTCTTGTATGGTTCAGACTTTGTCACCTCACCTAAAGACAAAGCTGAATTGTTTGCTAAGAACTTTTCATCAATATCATCTCTTGATTCCACTAGTTGCGTTTTACCTGACATAGCCGTCAAACAGGTTGACCCCTTGCTTGACATTCGCATCACTTCAGCTTCTGTATCTAAAGTAATTTCCTGCTTAGACTTTTCAACAGCTTGTGGTCCTGACAACATTCCTGTTGTAGTCTTGCAGAGGTGTTCTCCGGAGCTTTCATCCATACTTTCTAAACTATTTAACAAGTGCTTATCAGAGTCTTGTTTTCCATCATGCTGGAAAGCAGCATCTGTTATCCCTATTTTCAAAAATTCCGGAGAGCGATCTGATTCATCTAACTACCGTCCCATTAGTCTTCTTCCTGTCATAAGCAAGGTTTTTGAATCTTTAATCAACAAACACTTAATCTCTCATCTTGAATCAAATAACTTACTTTCTGATCATCAATATGGATTTCGGTCTTCTCGTTCTACAGCTGATGTACTAACAGTAATAACCGATAGGTTTTACCGTGCATTAGATAGAGGTGGAGAGGTTAAGGCTATCGCACTTGACATTTCTAAAGCTTTTGATAAAGTTTGGCATGCTGGTCTTCTCCATAAGCTTTCTTCTTATGGTGTAGCTGGTAACGTCTTTAAGATTATTGAGTCCTTTCTTTCCAATCGTAGTATAAAAGTTGTCCTCGATGGACAACACCCTTCTTCACATCCTGTAACTTCAGGGGTTCCTCAAGGTTCAATCCTTGGCCCTATACTCTTTTTAATTTACATTAACGATCTTCCAGATATTCTCACATCTAAGGTGGCATTATTCGCTGACGACACTACCATTTACTCTTGTCATGATAAGAAGCCTACACTCTCTGATTGCTTGGAGGGGGTATCTGAGCTTGAAAAGGATCTCACTTCTGCTACAGCATGGGGCTCACAGTGGCTGGTGAACTTTAATTCAGATAAAACTCAATTTTATTCGGCCAATCGTTATCGTAATAATTTAGATCTTCCTATATTTATGAATGGTAATGTACTAGATGAGTCATCTACCATTCATCTTCTAGGATTAACTCTTACTTCTGATCTTTCTTTTAAACCGTATATCAAATCCATTGCAAAATTAGCATCTGCTAAGGTTGCATCTCTTTATCGAGCTCGACACTTTCATACTCCAGATTCTATTCTCTATCTCTATAAATCTCAAATCCGTCCCTGTATGGAATACTGTTGCCACATCTGGGGCGGATCTTCTAATGATGCTCTTTCTCTTTTAGACAAGGTGCAAAAACGAATTGTAAACATAGTTGGACCTGCTCTGGCAGCCAATCTCCAACCTTTGTCACATCGTCGTAATGTTGCTTCTCTTTCTCTTTTCTACAAATACTATAATGGGCACTGCTCTAAAGAGCTAGCGTCCCTTGTGCCATCTACTAAAATTCATTCTCGTGTTACTCGCCATTCAATTAAGTCTCATCCTTTTTCTGTGACTGTTCCTAAGTGCTTCAAAAACTCTTATTCTTCTAATTTTTTTCCTCGAACATCAGTTCTTTGGAATTCGCTTCCTTCATCTTGCTTTCCAGATTCATATAATTTGCAATCTTTTAAGTCATCAGTCAATCGTTATCTTGCTCTACAGATTTAGTCTTCTCTCTTCCAGTAACTTCCAATCTACATACTATAAAATTAAAGAATGAAGCAAAAAATTCTTTTTTTATTCAGGCATTTAAAACTTAAGTCCATAAAACTTAGAACCACTTTAGCAAAAAGTTTGTAAATACAAAATAAATTTGTTTAAAACAAATAAAGTTTTATATATACATATATATATATATATATATATATATATATATATATATATATATATATATATATATATATATATATATATATATATATATATATATATGTATATATATATATATATATATATATATATATATATATATATATATATATATATATATATATATATATATGTATATATATATATATATATATATATATATATATATATATATATATATATATATATATATATATATATATGTATATATATATATATATATATATATATATATATACATATATATATATATATATATATATATATATATATATATATATATATATATATATATATATATATATATATATATATATATATATATATATGTATATATATATATATATATATATATATATATATATATATATATATATATATATATATTCTATAAAGCATATATTATATGCAATATTTCACATTTATATAACTTTTATATTTCATAACATATTTATAATTTGACATAAATACAAAGACTTAAAAAGATTCGTTTAATGAAAAAATAATTTTTATCAAACAACTAATAAAAAAGAAAGTGTCAATTGTACAACCAAATCATTTTTAAATTGCAAAACACTAAAAAAAAACTCAAATTAAAATTTAAATTTACATAAAAATATGAGTCCGCAGTTTGAAATGATTGGGTTTCTTACAAATTATGGTACCAGACAATGCACCATAATGGATATATCATTTAATTCAGTTATCTATTATATCAGCTATCTGTTTTGTCAAACTTTATGTAGCAACTTGAAAAAGTTTCAAAGCGTTGATTAAAATAACTTATCATCCTTTATTTTTATGGGAGAGTTTTGTAGGGTTTGGGAAAACCCGGCATTTTTAGACCCAACAAGCCTGAGTCGAGCCTATAAATATTTATAGGGTTCAAAATCAGGTCCGAGTCTAATACGACTTTTTGTCTTGCAACTTTAACAATAGAATGATTGGATTTTTCGTGTTCCCTCCAATTGAAAAAATAGATTTGGTAAATTTTTCAGTAAATAAAACAATTTTTTGTTTCAAAGCCTAACTTAAAAATACTAATAAATAATTATAATTATGTTAAACTACCAAATAGACTTGACAGTACTTTAAAAAAATATATCATATAAATTAAATACTTATAAGTGTTTAATATACAATAATTTATTAAGTTTTTCCTCTAGTGTTGATGCTAATGCGTTTACTGTAGTATTTTCATTATTTTGAAATGAATGTCCCTGTTCATAATGTGTATTTTGTTGTTCTTCATTTCTATCAAATAATCTCTTCAATAAATCTGTAAATTTTTGTATTTTCTTTGGCATAGTACCATTTACAAGAGAATCTAATAGCTCTTCTAAATCTTGGTTTTAATGGCAATTTATTTGAGTTATTTATTTTTCATTAATAGCTCTCTACTTAAATTATTATTTATCATTAATAGCTCTCTACTTAAATTACCATTATATTCTTTTAACATTCTTATCATAAAGCCAATTGCTAATTGGAATGTTGCAAGATTAGCATCGTTTCTGCTAAGATCTTTAACAGTTAGTTTAAAAGGCTTCAGCCTATTGTCAATTCATGTTTAAATTTAATATTTTCTATTAAGTGCACACTTCCAATATCTTAAGGAGCTTTTTCAATGATGATTGAAAAAACAATGAAAATTGTTTTAAAATACATTAATGAATAATATAATTTATATTTTGATTATATAATGCCTCTTTCTGGATTAGGTTTACCCAAAAAATTTTTAATTGACAATTTTGACCCAACGGTCAATTTTATTAAATTTTTTGACTATGGGCCTCCCTAATAATAATACAAATACAGCCCTATCTAAGCATGCTGTTAAGCATCAGATACAGCTGCCTAGAAAAGTTAGGGATTCACAAAACAACCCGCTGCGTATAAAACAACGCCAGGAATTCAAATCACGAGACTCGCCGACCGTCTTAGACCGGGTATCAGTTCTGGGTAATTAGCTACAGACTCGCAGAGTTCGAGTACGGGTACCCAGAACCAAAAAACCCTAGAGTTTTGGGAAACCTTATCTCCGAAATAATGCAAGATAAAAGAATATCACAGTTAATATAGGAGATAAAAGATTATTATAATTAATATGGAACAATATCAATAAAAATATTAATTATAAAACGTACTTACCAATGAGTTAATAATTGTTGAAACATTTAGTAAGATTTCCTCATTATTCCATCATAATAATCCATTTAGATTTACAACAAATATGCTGACAACATCGGCATTATTATTAATTAGCTGATTCTTACATACTTTAATGTTAAATAGTGTTCCAATAAATTATGCAGCAGATCCTGAAAAACTGTATATATAAAATTACTTATTATTAATTATTTCAAGCAACTTGTACATAGAAACAGGCACAAGGTCTTTAGATAAATTTAAAAAAAAAGGAAAGAAAAGTATAAAACAATTTAATGTTAAGTTACTATCAATATTCATATTTACTCTCAATATATAAATTTTGAAAATGGGGTATGTACAATTTTAATTTATGAGGTTTTTACAAAAAAATAAGACAGCAAAAAATAATGAAATAAATGATTGTTGCAACAAACTCTTATTCATTTTAATAGAATACCTTGCATGTTTTCCATATTGAGTGTTATAATGTGTCTTTGTGTTAATATTGTTAATTTGTAATAATATAAATAACTATTGGCATAATCTTCCTAGATTGCAGATAGAAACATATTAAACTATTTCTTTCCATCTTGCCTAAAACCAAAGCAGAAACTGCTGTAACCATTTTTACATAATGCTATACAAAAATGCGGTAGTGGTGTAGTGGTAGAGCGCTCGCTTCATAAACGAGTGGTTCCGAGTTCGATCCCCACCACGTCCCTGGTAGTACCGCGCTCAACTCGTTTCTCTGCGCAGCGGCCTTGTTTATCAAGGTTCGTGTTTCAGAGTTATAGAGTTGAGAGAGGGCTATAGCCACAAATAAGAAGCCTCCTTGTCTGTAGTGGCCTTCTCGGCCTTGAAGAGGTGAATTAAATAAAAAAAAAAAAAAAAAAAAAAACTTGCATGTGACATTAAATTTTTCAAAAGATCCACAATGCTCTTTTACCTCTATCAATATTTTTTTTTTAGGTTATTTAGGTGCTCCCAAAAAGTCTTTATGGTCTTATCACAGAGCACCACAGAAGAGCATTTAACTAGAAGTTCACGCTTCCTTCCTTACCAATATCGCTTATTGGGCTAGAGCCAGCATCAAACCTCGGACCTCTGGGTTGTGAGTTGAAACTTTAACCACATGCTTCATGGCTGTTCTTTTGCTCATCATTAATCATGATCATCATGGCCTACTGTGAATTACTCTAATTAATTTACTCCATGTTTTGTTTGCAAATTAATTTAGACTAGAAGCTTTGAACTACCCCACAATTGGTTTGCTTCTTTACTTTTATCTTGTCTAGCTCACTGTCTGTCTGCTCTCTCAAAAAATGCATTTGTTTGAAAAACTTAGTCTATTACCTTAAACTGATACTGTGATTTGATCATGAATGAAAGAGGACATCTTCTTTATGTGGGATTTTGTGTGGCATTGCTGGTAGAAAAATATAAATTAAGGATCCAGTTAGCAATGAAAAGCCACCAAGAACAAACCAGTTTTTCAAGGCGGCACATCTCCATATTACTAAAACATGCGCCACTTTGCCCTCTCTGGTATTTCTAGATTATGGTTTATATCATAAAAATCAACACCATTAAAGATCTCATAATTCTTAAGATACTTTCCAAAAGAGCCTTGATAGCATCTAACTCCTCAAACAAATGGTAATGGAAGCTTATTTGCATGTAGGAAGCAAATAACCCAATGTAGAGTCAGTTAAAAATTTATCAAACTACCCTAAAAATTTATCACACTACCAAAAATGTTATAACACTACTCCTTCTTCTAGTGTTTACATAAGTTCCATCACAGCCCAGCACTTGCAAAATAAAAAATTATTTAAAAACTTTAACATATAAAAGCCAAATGAGTGGTTAAAAATTTGTTTTGGATGATATAACAATAATATAAAAATGATGTACGATGCAGGAAAATTGTTTAGAAATAATGTATATATATATATATATATATATATATATATATATATATATATATATATATATATATATATATATATATATATATATATATATATATATATATATATATATTTATATATGAATCCTAAAATGAAAACTCAATCACAAATCATAACCACATATGCAAAACATACAAATCTAAATCTACATTCCAACTACATACTATCTGTTTGTAATTATGTTGTGGTAAACTCAAAAAACAGTTAGTGACAACTATGTGGTTTGTGATTACCATAATTTTTAATTATTAGTTAATGTGTTTATACGGTTTTAAATGAATATGTGAGGTTTGTATTATGATATAAATTATCGATTGATTTTGTAAGGAGGTTAAATAGAAGTTAGTTTAATGATGAGATAGATGAATAAAATTTCTCGTTGTGTTTTCTTGCGAGGAAATTACACTATTAAAAGAAAATATTATTTAAATAAAGATGAGTTTAAACTATATTTTACATATTATAAACTATATACTGTGATGCTTAAACATTGATGAATAATCAATAAAATTAAATTTGATTTTACAACAAATAATTTTTTTAAAATAACTTCTTTGTCAGTGAGGCTGCAAGCAACTACTATAGTTAGAAGTAATTACAAATTACTTATAATTTACAAACTGTAAATAAGTTTTCTATAAGAGAATTTTTATTCGCAAGACATAGATTAGAAGACATAGTGAGAGGGTTGTAAATAAGTTTTCTATGAGAGAATTTTTATTCGCAAGACATAGATTAGAAGACATAGTGAGAGGGTTGCCATTTATTAAAATAAGAATGTCAACAACGTTGTGATTATTGATTCAGTTAATAGCAGTTAATAGCTAGAGTTTTTTTGGAATCCACCGACCGCTGCAATTTCTAAGCTGTTAAAAAAGGGAGATCAAATTCAAGGTTAGCTAATTGTTCTAAGCAATCTAAGTGAAGAACTTTTGGCAAGACACGAGTATAAAATTGAGTCGTCAGCTTTAGATATAAGATATCAGGAAGATCATAAATGTACATAAAAAACAATACAGAAACAAGAAAGGTTGTAAAAAATTAGAAACTAGATTTGCATACAAAAAGGTATTTTATCATTTGGCAGCATATAAAAATAATACTTATGATTTTCTAATAAACTGTTTCCATATAATTAAGTATTTAAAAAATTATTAATCTGATAAAAATGATAAAAATTGAATTGATTTTGAATTTATAAAACTCTTTCAGCACATAAGTACATGAGAGTCATTTGCTCTTTGTAATCTTTTCTGGATTTTATTTCACTTATATATTATATATATAAGTTATATATATATAATATATTATATATATATAAGTACATGAGAGTCATTTGCTCTTTGTAATCTTTTCTGGATTTAATCTCACTTATATATTATATATATAAGTTATATATATAATATATTATATATATATATAATATATTATATATATATATATATATATATATATATATATATATATATCTCAAGTTTGCTATTGATTATTACTTACTATATACAAACCACAACAATAATTCCTGCAAAAGATCGTCAAAATATACTAAACAGAAATGAAGAAACATATAATGAGTATTGCATTTCACGAAACAAAACAAAAGCAGTGTGTAGAAAAATAATTATTGAATTTGAAAAAAAACTTGCTAGAAACATCAATCAAAATTCAAAAGCATTTTTCTCGTATGTCAAATCAAAAAGAAAAAACAAAGAGACATTCCCTGACATCCAATATAATAACATTGTTGCAACTTCTGATCAAGATAAAGCTCATCTATTCAATAGTTATTTTGCTAATATATTTTCAAACGAAAAAATAACAACAATACTGAAATTTAACCTAACATATAAAAGTGTAAACCCACTTTCAAACAATATTGATATAAGTCCAAAAAATATAGAAAAACATACCTCCAAAATCTAAACGCATCTAAATCACCAGGCCAATTACACCCAATAGTTTTTATAAAAAAATGCTCTCAAATGTCTAAACATTTATCTACTATTTTCAACAAAGTCCTTGAGAGTGGATCAATACCCCAAATATGGAAAGACGCAACAATTTCACCCATATTCAAAAAGAGACAGGTCTAAAGCAATTAATTATAGACCTATCAGTATAACTTGTACCTCAATAAAAATCTTTGAAAAAATTATAAAAAAACATATTATGACACACCTGATTAACAATAACTTATTAAGTCCACACCAATATGGATTTTGTCCTGGTCATTCCTGCTGAACTAACCTTTTAACTGTAATTAATTATTGGACATTATCACTTGATAAGAATATTTCCATCAACAACATTTATTTTGATTTTGAAAAAGCTTTTGACAAAGATCCACATAAATTTCTTATTTCTAAACTTAAAGCTTATGGTATAAATGGTTCTATACTATATTGGATAACAAACTTTTTGGAAAACCGTAGATAAAGAGTTGTTATAAACGGTAATTATTCTGACTGGGTTTCTGTTAAAAGTGGAGTTCCCATGGCTCTGTCCTTTCAGGGTTACTTTTTATTATATATGTCAACAATATCCCTGAATTAATCAAACCAAAAATCTTCCGATCTATTGAAAGTGCCCAATCTGCGCAAGAACTACAAAATGATATTGACACTCTTGTTTTATGGTCTCAAAAATGGGGATTGAAATTTAACATTGATAAATGTTCTGTAATACACTTAGGACACAACAAGAAATCCTATACTTATAATATGCATGATCCAGAACAAAATATAAGAGTAAACATTAAACCCACAAATTGCAAACAAAATTTAGGCGTTCACATAGATTCAAACATATTATTTTCAAAACAACTATTCAAGTTAACAAAGCAATACAAATAATAGGAATAATAAAAAGAATATTTACATTTTATCCAGATTTATCATCCTTCAAAAAACTATTTACAGCTCTAGTCCATAGAATACTGTGGAAAAGTTTGTAACTCTGTACTTCACAAAGACAAACAACAATTAGAATACTGTGGAACAGTTTGTAACTCTGTACTTCACAAAGACAAACAACAATTAGAATACTGTGGAACAGTTTGTAACTCTGTACTTCACAAAGACAAACAACAATTAGAAAATGTTTTAAGAAGAACTTCAAAAAGAATTAAAGGGTTATATGATCTACCATATAAACAAAGATTATTGCCGCTAAATATGGCGCTTAAATATAGGCTACTTCACGCAGATCTAATTAACGTTTATAAATGGGGCAAAGAAAACAATGGTGATAGAAGTCTGTTTGAAATTGATAGCCAATTTATTACTCGTGGTCTTATCTATAAATTAAAAAAATCTATTCTTTACAGCTATTTGCTGCTTTCTGATTAACTTTTTATCTGTTGAATCTAACCTTTTGCAAAATTAAACGGAACCTTTTACCAGACCAGGTATATTATTATCCTTCTTAGTTTATAAGACTTTGAGAGTAATTTAAAAGCAGCTGTTTCAAATTTGATAAAAGATAAAGGTGTTTACTAACTTTGATGAAACAATAAAGAACAAAAAAATAATATTCATCAACAGATTTGAAATTGCCTTTTAGAAGATTTAAAGACTAATTTAAAAGCAGCTTTTTTATTTTTTATAAAAAGTGTTGATTGTTAATATTTCTGTTTTTTTCTTTATTGTTCTCCTTCTTCTTAAACACGCGCTTTAAAGATGTATTTTCTGATCTAATTGACCAATCCCTTTCTCTTTATGCTTTTACTGATATTGTTTGAATTAGTTACTTTAATGCTAAC